AAATTTATGTCCATCTTCCTCACTAGACTATAAACTAGCTTATAATTTCAGGTTATGATCAAAGCAAAACCTTTTTTCTCAGTAATAAGCTACTTTATTACAAAGTCAATGAGCCTTCCTCTCCCAGCCTCTCTAGTTTTCATAGTCACAGAAATACAGTGCCACTGTCATGTCCATGTATGCGGGTATGACACAAAACCTACCTCCAGTGTCGGCTAACGTGCTGGGGAGAAGGCTGACTCCTGAGCTCCCGTCCCTGATGAGCCTCACTAGCTGCGTGAACGTGGGCAGTTTGTTTTACTACCTTGTGCTTCAGTCAGCTCTTCAGTAAAAAGGGGAAATATAAGGGACTTACTCTGCAGAGTGATTGTGGGGATTAAATGAGGAATTATGTAAAGGTCCTTGCATGGCACCAGCTCAAAGTTAGCACTTAGTAAATGTTAGTTATTAACAATTTGTTGTGGTTGTTATTATAGGTTATTACCTAAGTTATAAGCATTTGGGGAAGATAAAAATGGGTGGGATACCCAATCTTCCAAGGGCTGGATTGGTCACTTGCAAACTTAATCACCGTGCTCCACTCCCCAGTCCTACCTTCCTCCTTCTATCTTTCCATTCTCTCTGCCTCCCTTCCATCTTCTTTTCAGATAATGGTCTTTTATTAGAACATAAAATACTTAAATCACTTACACCCTGCTTCATGGACTGTCTCACTCCAGGCACTGGAAAGAAACAAAAAGCTCGGAAGCAGGTGAAGGAACAAGCAAGCATGGGGACAGAGATGCCACCGCATCACTTGGTGCCACCTGGCACAACCTCACGACTGGCACAGATTCCTCCTTGCTCACCATTCTCTTTACTTGATATGCCTGGTCCTGAATTCACATTCAAAACTACTGTTTTAATGCCTGGCTGGTGGGGATAGGCTGGAGTGGAGAGTGGGGTGGTAAATGAAACATGCCTGGTCATGAGCTCGTTGTATTGTTGAAGCCGAGTGATGAGTACTTGAGTATTAACAACACTAGCCTTCTATTTCTGATTATGTTTGAAATTTTCTATTATAAAAAGGAGAAAAACAAAAACAAAAAAATAGTTGGGATACCAAAATTACAGCCTTCCTTGATAAATTTATAAGTCATCCGTTACTATATAAAACCATAACTGGAGCACTTTTTGGAATAGCAGAGGGCCCATTAACTCCCCTCCCTTCTCCCAACCAGTGAAGAGACTGTGGTGAGCGCAACTCTACAGGCCCTTAGATAGCTGCTCCGCCGTCCGTGCCCTTGAGTAGCCCTGTCTCCCTGAGTGTGAGCAGAGCCTGTGGATGTGACAGATATCACTCCCATGATTAGGTTGCTAATCATCTGACTGAGTTAATCAAAAGGAGATTATCCTGAGTGGGCCTGACCTTAAAAGGAGGTGACATGTCAGAGAAACATGCCTGCTGTCCTGGAAGAAGAGGAAGCAGACTGTCCTTCCCGGAGGAGGCCCTGTGGGAGGAGCTGAGGGTGACCAGTGCCATCAGCCAGAGAAGTCGGGGACTGGGCCCACAGCTGCGATGAACCAACTCTGCCAATGATCTGAGTGGACTCGGGAGAGGTCTCAGACGAGCATCTTCAGAGGGCCCACAGCTCAGCCAACACTTGGTTTCATCTTGTGAGACCCGAGCAGAGGAGCCAGCAAGGCCACGCAAATATCATCTTCATTATTGATAAAAACTGAAATGGGGCTTGTGACTTGATATATGGCTTCAGCTGGGGACTCTAATATGTACCAGCAATTCAGACGCCCCCAAGAATATTAGGGCTCCCCATTATATGCACAGAGAGCTGCCTCTGGGGCTCCTGAGAGCTGAGTTGTATTCAGTAGATAAGGGCAATCATAGAGGTAAACATAAGTTATAGATAAGATTAGCTCAGGGGGAAGGGAATATCACAAGGCTTCCCAGAGGTGGACAAAACAAATTGGGTTTTGAAAGATGAATAGGAGTTTTGCAAAAGGACAAAAGAAGAAGCGTAGTCCAGACACAGGGAACAGCAGGTGCCAAGGCACAGAGACAAGTGACAGCACAGTTTGGGAGGAAGGAGACGCAGTGTGACACTGCACAGGCCCTGGAGAGAGAAGGATAGAGATGCAGGGTCAAGTTGAGAAGAGCTCTGCTTGTCGTGCAAAGGAAGGGGCTTTAACTTCATACTGGAAGCAAAGGAGACATTTCATAAGCATGGAAGAGAGTCAATCAAATCTGCATTTTAAATTGGCCATTTGATAGAAATAGAGACTTAAAAATAACTTTTGAAATAATTTCCCACTTAGAGAAAATATGCGAGTCCAAAGAACTCCCTTGTGTGCATCACCCAGGTCTCCGCTGTACCTCCCACCACACGCGCTGCGCTCGGTGCCTCCCAGCATCCAGCATCTGTCCACACACACTGACCCAAGATCACTGGTCTTTTACTGAGTCAGTTGACAAAGAGCTTCAGATACCATCACCCCAAAATACTCCACTGTCTATTTTCCCCAAACAAGGATGGCCCCCGTTCCATCACCCTCCCCATCAGGACGTCCATGTCAATATGACTCTGTTGTCCAGTCCACGGACTCCCCTTGTTTCACCAACCATCCCCAAAACACTTCTTTTCCTTTGTGGCCTAGACCCCACGCAGAAGCATACTTTGCATGTGGTTGTTGAGTCTCTCCGGTCCACTGCAATCTGGAGTAATTACAATTTCTCAGTAAGAAAACAGGGTGACCCTACACTTCATCTGTCTGGTGAGTCCCCAGGCCACACTCAGGTCACGGTTTCTGGAGAGATGCCCCAGAAGTGCCGCGATACTACTCAGCATGTCATGTCAGGACTCACAATTTCCACCTGTCTCCCCTCCCCCTGCTCTGCTGGTGACACGTAGCTGGGTCATGTTGGTGTCTGCCGGTTTTCCCCACCAGAAAGTCCCCATTTTTTCCTTTTCTGATTGATGAGTATCTTGCAGAAGGTATTCCAGTAATATTCCTCATCGAACCTCCACCTAACATCCTTAGCCCCCACTGATAGCTCACCCCTGCCCTATGATGATGGCTAAATGGTGATTTTCTACTTCCATCACTCCAGTTATTTATTTTCCATATTGATCACTTGTTCCTTCATCTATATCAGTATGGACTCATGGGTTCCTTTTTTACTCCCTGGGTTCTAATCTGCCAGTATCATCCTTGATTTTGCTGCACAAATCGTCCCACACTTAATCGGTGGGAGCCCCTCAAGTTGCCTCCCTTGTCCTTCGACATCGTGTGATTCTTTGAGCATTTTCTTACTTTCTAGCATAACAAAATATTCCAGGCTCATCTTGTACTTCCACACTCCAGCCCTGAAGTCAGCTATTTCTCCAAAGATCCCTGGTTCCTTTTATTAGAGAATGGTATTTAGAAGCCAAGATCTGGAGCTCCTTGTGCTTATTGGTACTGGGGCGCTGAAAGCTCCAAGATCCTCTCAGCAGACAGAAATAGAAAATATATAAAGTAACACAAATGCACACAAATATAGATATACATATATAACTCTATGTCCATCTGTATATATATATCAAAACATATGACTTCATACTGCCTCCAAGTCCAGTCCAACACCTCTGGGTTCTTTCTAGACTCTCCCTTTCCATGCTTGTAAGATCTCCAACAGTGAGAAACCTGGCTTTCATTATCCTCAATATATGTGTCTATGTGCTGGTATAACCAAGCTGACTAATCTGCCTGCCACCTCAGGTAGGCCTGCAACAGCCTCCTCCGTGCCAGGGAGGGAAAGTCTCTGGGGAACTTTTAAAGAAGGTAGGATCAAAGGGATACCAGTCAATTAAGAGATTTTTGTAATAAACTGGGCAAGCAAGAAAGGACCACACTTTTTCTGATTCTTCTGGTTGCTTAGGTAAAGAATGGTTGTGTCACAAACGAGCACATCAGAAACACAGGAATAGGAGTCTTGGTGCGTTTGAGCAAAATGAGTCCTGGGTGCAGCACAAAAGGAAGAAGCAGTGTGCTCTCACCCTCTACAATGAAGGCTTTGTAGGACAGGGAGAGAGGGAGACGTGGAAGAGGTGGGCAGGAGAGTTGATAAGGCCCAGACCTAGGCGGGAGGGCATCCAAAACAAAGCAGAAGACAGAACCTAAACAGAAGAAAGCACTTTTCTCTGAAACTGGAAAGGATGAGTGCAGAGGCTGAAACTTTACAGTTTTGTACTAGAATACTCCCAATGATGCTCTTCTTTCCTCTGAGAAAGTAGGGCCTTTCATTGGAGAACTGTCTGCACAGAAGGTAAGGAAAGGGGTAACATGAGCAGGTCACAGAAGATTGAGGAGTATAAAGAGTCGAATGCTAGCAAAAGCCTCGGAACCTAGCTGGGCCTGTTACCAGACTCGGTGCAGAATGAGATGCATTCAGCCTTGCTGGTATGATTAAAGACAGGGGCGTGGCCAGGAGTTCAGTGGGGTCAGGAAGGCAGCTGAGGCCAGGAGCTGATTGGTGTACAACATGGACACTTGTCTTCAGTGTATTTCACGCCGCTGGGCCCCCAGGTCAAACACGTTATTGCAGTCATGAAGGACTTTCTATGTGGCTTGTGTTCACTCAAGTCTTTATCTATGGGATGTGATTCTACAACTCTAGAGGGAAGACCACAAGACAGAAAAGCTCATGCTCCTTCCTATGTTTACAAGGCAATCACTTCTTTTGAGGTTGTAACTTAGTCTTGAGTGAAATGTGGCATTAAAACATTACACTGTTACATAGGAAAAGGGTTCTCACCATTTTACATATCACAACTAATATAATGAAATTTGGTGAAGAGCAAGAAAGGAAAAACCACTTCCTTCCCTTGCTTGAGGTTTAGAGCCCTTGCCTGAAGCTGTGTTCAAGCCCCTAGAGCAATGTTTTCATAGCAGATATCTATTCACATTTCTCCATAGCCATACACACATATAGGTATATATAACTGCAGACAGACTCACAGACGGAGGAGGAAAGAGGTGTGGTTTATTCATTCACGTTGCAGCAGGCACTATGCTAGCCTGAGGATATGACGATAGACACAATAAATGTGGTTCTTGCCCTCACCGAACTTAAGCCTACTTGAATTACTAATGAGAACTTGGCAAAGTCACCAATGCATGTAAATGCTCCGCCGACTGGAAAAGTTCACGCTAGCAGCAAGTCTTTTATTCAGTGCCTCGAACAGGGCTGTGATTGCAGTTTAGTCTTTGGTTGGCAGTCCTCTTCTTCTTACAGGCTTTTGTCCTCCTATCTGCACAGCAAAGTGGCCTGTGGGATATGGCTGTTTTGTCCTGAAGACACGAGGCTCTGTCACTGCAGCTCCTGCATAGTGATCAAGCCATTATTCCAGAATCCCTGCAGCATGGCAGGGAAGAACCCATGTGATATGAAGTACACACATCAATCAAGAACGTAAAAACGTGCAAGCATGCTATATTTCTCTCCAATCGTCCCTGTCCTTTCTAACGGCGATCATTCAAGGCTGCCAGCAGCATAAAGATATGAAGGATAGAAGAGAGAGAGGAAATAACTAACCTTATTGTTACAATTAAAACTTCCTTGGAACTCACTGAATACGCCCAAAAACACTTAGGAATTATCCTGATTTGAGTCCGCCGAATCATAGTGATCAAGAGCTGTCTTGCTTCCCAGAAATCACAAGCATGGTCTAGCCTAGCACCGTTAACGGCGAGTCAGCGGGATGCGGGCACCTTTCAGAGAAGTGGTTGGCATCCTGCTGAGGACACCTGCTGGGCGCCCCCTGGGGAACGTTATTTGAGCCGAAACGCTTTCATTTCATATACGCATAGGAAGGCCTATCCTGCTGGGGCTTTCCCATCCCTAAGGCAGCTCAGAGTCCGGAGCAGCAGAGCGGTACCTCCCACGCAGCGCCCTCTGCGCACCACTCGCGACGGAGTGCGCGCGCGCGCGCGCGCTAACACCTTGAAGGCAGCCTGCGCCGCCTAACGACGTCTCGGTTAACGACGGGCGGCACGTCCACGGTGCTCCCGCGAGACTAGGGCCGCGGCCCGGCTGTGTGCCCGCGTGCACTGCGACGGTCGCACAACCGTGAAGCCGCTCAGCAGCGCTTCCTTGGACATGTCCCCGTCGTCGTTAAACGACCGCGACAGTGCACGGAACAGCGCCTTCCTAGCACTCGGCAAGTGCAAGGCCCGCGGAGCGTCACCTCCCCTTCCGCGGGAGCCCGCAGGCCCGGGTGACCCCGGCCGGGGCCAGCACCGCCCGACGCCCCGGCCGACACACCCGTCGGCCCAGGCCCAGAGGCGGGTGACGGAGCAGGCCCGCACACCGGCAGCGCTCGGAAGCCACCACCACCTCCGCCAGCCGCTCCCGAGCGTCCCCCTTGCCCGCCTCACGTCCCAACTGCCAGCCGGCGGCCAGAGCCCGCCCACCCCTGAAAGGACGTGCCCCAGGGCTGTACTGCCCACCGCGGGATGACGTCATAGACGGCCCCGCCCGCCCTCGAGGGGGCGTACCCAGGCCCAGGGCGGTGCCCGCCGTGCGGCTTCATGGGCGCCCCGCCCACTCGCGAGATGACGCCACACGCCAGACCCGCCCACCCCTGAGAGGGCGTGCCCGGGCCCAGGGCGGTGCCCGCCTGCCCGCTTCAGGGGCGCCCCGCCCACCCGCGCGATGACGTCACATGACAGCCCCCGCCCACCCCTGAGAGGGCGTGCCCGGGCCCAGCGCGGCCCCAACCCGCGCGATGACGTTACCGCCAGCCCCGTGAGAGGACGTGCCTCAGGCCTAGGGCCGTGACCGCTCTCCTCGTGCGATGACGCTACACAGCCACCCCGCCCGCTCCGCGCGAAGACCCCACACGGCAGACCCGCCCATCCCCCCGTTGTGACGCTTCCTTCCACCCCGAGCGGTGACGCTCTGACTAGCCCCGCCCACCTCGCTCCCCAGCGCTGTGACGTGGACCAGGCCCAGGGCCGCGCCCGGTCGCGGCACCGGCGCGCGCCCTCCCGTCCGCCCGCGGCACCCTGCCCACGCTGCGTGCTGACGTCGCACGCCGCCCGCGGGCGGAAGGGCGGGCGGGCCGTAGCGGCGGCGCGCACCCCTCAGAGGGGCGCTGGCGCGCGGGCGGAGGCGCTCGGCCGGGCGGACGCGAGCGTTTAGGGTGCTGCGCGATGAGTGGCGCCCCGGACCGGGGCCCAGAGGCCGGCGCTGCCCGGGCCGAACCCCCCGGCCCGGCGCTGAGCGTGGACGTGGCGGGGCTGCTGGCACAGCTGGCGCGCAGCTTCGCGCTGCTGCTGCCGGTGTACGCGCTGGGCTACCTGGGCCTGAGCTTCAGCTGGGTGCTGCTGGCTCTCGGGCTGCTCGTGTGGTGCCGGCGCAGCCGCGGCCTCAAGGCCAGCCGCCTGTGCCGCGCGCTGGCGCTGCTGGAGGACGAGGAGCGCGCCGTGCGCCTGGGGGTGCGCGCCTGCGACCTGCCCGCCTGGGTGAGTGGGCGCCGCGCGGCCCCGCCGCGCCCGGGTCGGGGGTCCCCGCCGCGCGGTCTCTTGTCGCCACCCGCCACCTTGCCCGCGTCGGGTCCTCCCCTTGTCACGGCCCCGATCAGGGGTCCCTACCCCGCCCAAGTCAGGGGTCACCGCCCTCCTGCCCGGGTCGGGGGCCCCACCCGCCACGGCCCCGGTCGGGGGTGCCCGGCTCCGCCCAAGTCAAGAGTTCCCGCCCCCTGCCCGGGTCAGGGGTCCCCACCCGCCACGGCCCCGGTCAGGGGTCCCCGGCTCCGCCCAAGTCAAGAGTTCCCGCCCCCTGCCCGGGTCAGGGGTCCCCACCCGCCACGGTCCCGATCAAGGGTCCCCGACTGCCTCGCCACCACCCCGCCTCCCTGCCCCGACCAGGGGTCCCCGCCCCACCCGGGTCAGGGGTCGGCACCGCCGTCAGTGTACCCTCCCCAGCCTGCCTGTCTTCCCGGGCCGGGCCGCTGTCACCCGGCGCCCCCGCCCAGGTCGGGTCTCCTGACCAGCAGCAGCGTCCCGCGGGCCTCCGCCCGGGCGACGCCGGAGCCGAGTCCTGCCCCTGTCAGCCCCCTGTCTCAGTCAAGCGTCCCCGCCGCCCATCGCAAGCGGGGCCGCCAGGTGAGCGGGGCCGCCAGGTGGGCGCGCCCGTGCGCTGGCGCTGCGGCCGGGCGCCGGTGCCTCCGGAGTGTGCCGAGGGGATGGCGCAGGGGCAGCCGGGCGGGGCTCACGCCGCTCCCGCCCCAGACGGCTCCGGCGTTCCCGGCTGTGCGGCGCGGGCGGAGGGCAGCGAGGGCCCCCGAGGCTTTGCGGAGCGGGATGATTGAGGTCTGTCTCCCGTCTGGCAGTCACGTGTGGGGTCGCGCCCGTCCCCGGAGGGTGCGCTCGAGCCGGGGGCCGGCCGCGCTGCTGCCGTCTTCCTTGCCGCGGGCGGGCCTTGCTCTGACGGAGGCGGACGCGCGCGGAGTGGCTCCCGCGTCTCCTGCTGCCTCCCTGACCCCGAGCTGGTGTCGGTGCCTGGCCGCGGGAAGTCGTGCTCATTTTAGGATGCCGGACGCTCACGTTGGGCTGGGCGTGAACTTGGGTGAAGACGGCCGGCCTGGGTTTCGCGAGGGTCGCCGTCCCGGAGGAGGAAGGGCGTGGAGGAGCCGTCTTGGGAGCATTCGGTCCCCGGCGGGCTGCGGGCGGCCTCGGGAGCGGAGCCGGGCGCCCGGACGGAGCCGCGCTCGGAAACGCGGGGGGACCTTCGAGTGCGCCGGTGTCTGCGGCACCGACTTACACGGCGCCGGAAGGCAGCGAGAGCAGGAGGTTCGCTGCCCGAGGAGCGGGCGCAGTCGGGCCGAAATTCGCAGGAATCAGTGATGCTGACTTGCGTGCGACGTTGGCTGTCCAGCAGTTGGTTGATACCAGATTTGCTCATAAAAATCCTTGTGAGCTGCACGCTCTAATAACAAAGTACGTTAAATACAATTGCTACCAGATTGAGGGACAGGACAAATTCTTTGTTTTTTGGGGATTTTTTAGTAGAATAAAAGGGTGATTAGCCAAAGATTTTTTTCTTGGGTTTTTCCTCCGTGTGCCTTAAACTGATGAACCATCAGTTCATCACATAGAGTAAGGAATTTATATTTTCTCCAGAATTTTTCACTTGTCTATTCCGGATTTGTATTTGCTCTCACATCTCACTTTTATGCTTAAACAAGCCTGCCTTAGAAAACTTCTGGAAGGATTCACGCGAAACTTGATGGTGATCGTATCCAAGAAGAGCACTAGGAGTCTGGAGTTTGAGAGCGATTTTTTTAATGTACTTTTGTTATTGTAATAGCCTTGTATTATTTTCGTAATAAAACCAGTGAATTACACTGTCTAGAAGTGTGCTTGTTATTCTGCTGTAGCCAGGGAGCAAATCAATAATAGGAGCCATGCATGAGAAAAGTTAAGCTTTCTGTATTAGTAGTACTTTGATTTTTACTGTACATACTTAGGTTCTTGGGGTTCTGAACTTTCAGCTGGTGTTTTTCTTTAAACGAGATATATTTGTACACGTTTTCATAGTGTGGTTGACAACTGTGATTCATAGCAGGGTAGAAGCATAGGGAAACATGAAGTAATGTGGTACTCACCTCCTAACCCCACTTTTGGATATGTTCACTCACAATTTTTCATCTTTTTATTTAGTGCAGTAAAAATTTATACTGGATTGGAAAATAAAATAATTAAAGAATATTAATACTTTGAGAAAAAAATTTGCTGTTTTGAATGAAGACTATTAGGATATGAAAAATGGTCCTCACTTAACATGTAATACTTCTTTAGGACTTTGGTCCTACAGTTTTAATGTAAATACATTGTTTTTCATTCTTCATTTTTTTTTTCCCCATAAATAGAGAAAAGGCCTAGCAGGTTTGGGTTGATGGAATGAGGGCTGGCTTTTTTGTTGTACCAGTGTTGACCCATATTAATTGTCTACCCCTGTGAAATTAGACTATGGGTGAGGAATATTCTTGAAGAGTTGTTACAGAGATGAATAAGGACAGTTTTCCGCTGCTATTTTTGTTTACTTGAAAACTTAGAACTTGGTAGTTGAAATCTGCCTTTTTCCTGCTTTTACTGCTGCCAGTCAGTGCTGATTCTGTGGCTGCAAATAAGTAGGGACTCAAACCTGTCATATATAGTATCACTCAACTTTTTTGACAGTTGGTCTCTTATTACTCTAATACTTTGTTCTGTACTATACATGTACAACCTTTTCTTTGAGGAGAGCTTTCTTCCCATAGTTCTTCTGGGAAGTTCAAGAGAATTTAACTCTAGCCAAATTTAATATGTGTAGGCTAAGAACCAAATGAACAAAAGAGAAGAAAACACTTTGGTCTCATGTAAAAGAGAGGCAAATATTTCTTTTATTCTTGGTGTTAGTCATTGAGTTATACTTTAATGAAATTTTGTGAAGACTTGTAACAAAATAACTGGTGTAGCTAAATCAGGAACCACCGTTTAGCTATTTTAGACTGTGATTGCAGCTTTAGCAGTTGGATCCTAGAGCAATTATGTACTTTGAGAAAATGTTGGAGTCGTCCTCGTAGCTGTGAAGGGATATGGATGCTGCTGGGGGTTCTTGATTATGCCCACTCTGCTGCCGTACTGTAGTCAGAGAGGAAAAGGACTGAGAGCACTGCCTGGCTCTGTGGTCTAGGATCTAAATGCTTCCTTCAGTTGGACCAGAACGCCCCAAGGTTGCTAGACGTAAAGCGGTAAATATCTGTTTTTTAGTTTAAACTTAAAAAATGAATTTAAATTTAGAATACATGCATCCATCAGCTTATGTGGTCCGGTTTTACTAATACTTCTGTCTCAGTCGAATCTTAGCCTCACGTTACATTCCACCATGGGAGAACATAGAGCTAGGACTGAACTATAAATCATTTAAATAAATACGTGAATTGAAAATGTATGTAATAAACTTATATTATGTTAAGTATATTATGTGTATTTATAAAATATAGATTTTAATCCTGTGAAGAACCAAAAACTGGTAATTTAGTGTTCTCATTAGGCCTACTGAACTTTTTATCTTTTCTGTGGGTTTTAAGGATTTCTACATTGGTTCTAACATTTAATCTTGAATAGTATCACAGACATTGTGAATATACCAGAAAACATTGAATTGTACCCTGCAAGCGATATGGCATATGCTAATTGTATCTCAGCACGTAAAAAAATGTAGACATTGAATTTCTTTTAAAAATAAGTGAAAAAGGCAGTCTGTTATAGTACTAGGTAAGCTGTATGTACTTATTTGCTTATGGAATTCCAGCTAAAACTGTACAACTTTTAAAAATTATTGTTCCAACTTAGATTTGGAGGGATTTAACGTTTTAAAGAATATTTAATGAAAGGAGTGGGCTTATGAATGAAAAAAGTAACTAGGTAAATATTTTTACCTTAAACCTAATGTACCTTTACACATTGATACCATATTGGCTGATTCTGATGGAATAACAATAGAAATCATGCTTCAAAGATATAAACAGCAGAAATGTGTTTTTCTCTAAGTTATTCTAAGCTCTTAACTTTGATTCAAGGTATCGACACATAATTATCATGTATGTTTGAGAAATTTAGCCTGTAGATTGATTTGTTTTATATTAGATACATTTTATCATGGCATGATTTTAGAATGTACTGTTTGTGGTCTTTTGCATTTTATTGTGTTGTCGCTATCTTTAGTTTCCATGATAGTGCTGCCTCAGATGAATTTTCCTCCTCCATTTAATGATCTGAGGACCCACAATAATGCAGAAGTGTAAGAGGTCATCCTGCCTTCACGTGTGTACTCTTCTGGGTAGAAACAAGGCAGTATGTGATGGCCCCCGAGTGCTGTGGTGGGTCAGAAGAGAGGATGGAAGGTGGTTAGTGGTGAGGGGGTACCTACAGACACACTTGTGGACTTTTAAGAATAGGTGGGAAATCAGGGGCATATCCTGGGATGGGGTGCGGGGTGGAAGCATCAGAGCCGGGTAGGGCAGCAGTGTGAATTCCTGAGTGGTCCCATCTGGAGGGAGCTATACAGATGGTGATGGAAGGTTGAACTGAGGCTCAACGGTTACTCTGGGCCCAGGGGTGAGGAGTGGATGTGTTTGGACTGGGGCCCAGGCCCGGCTCTCAGGGCAGCTCTCCCATTTCACAGGGAGCCCTTAGTGGGCATAAATATGAACACTACTCTTAAGACAAGGAGTGTTTGGACATGGGAGGAGGGGAAGATAGTGATGTATTCAGAACTAAGCTTGTAAAATCAGAAAATGGAAACTCCTATGCAATACATTAGAGTTCTGTTCTTGCCTCAGCTGCCAAAAAGCTTAGAGCCAAGATTATTGCTGGATTGTTGTGCTCTATACCATTGAGGCAGCTGGAAGTACCCATCCACCTTCCTTCAAATAGACTGTTCTGTTTTACTCTTAATGATCTTATTGTGCCTTAAA